CCAGGGGATTGCTTTGCTGTTCCATCTTGGTTTCCCCGGCCTCGGCTGATGGAATTATTGTTTATTTTTTTAATTTTCAGAGGTGGGGCCGATGACAGCTGAAGAAGACTGTATTTTGCTGAGGAGCAGCATGCTGGTCGAGAGGAGCAGAGCTCCTGAGGGAGACCTAATGGTTCCTCTCCTTCCTGCACGGAGATAAAGACTTATAATAAGCGTGTATGTTCACCATCTGGCTCCGCGCATGTGGTCCTTATGGAGGCAAGAGCAGCACAATCTGTAAATGATCAGGAGCAAGCAGCTCGTCAGAAGAATGCCCGATGCAATCAAGCACACAGTCCTCAAAATCATTCAGGCGGCTTCAGCAAGTAAATTACTCTCGCAGTTAATAGACTTCCATGGAAATGGGCATGACCGCGTCAAAAAAGTCCGGGCCGGAGTCATCTTGCGGGCGCGGGACCCGACGGGGGCAGGCCCGCCTGCGCTCGGGCGCGGCCCGGCAGAAGCGCTCGAGCCCCGACGCCGCCGGTTTCCGCGCCGGAAGGGCGAGCGCGGCGGACCGGCCGGGGCGCCAGGCATGACGGGACGGCGGGCGGCCCCCACCGGCCACCATAGAGATGCGGAAGTCGGCCGGGAAGCCCAGAGGGCACTCGGGTAGAGCGAGGTGGGGCGCCCGCGCAGTCCTAGAGAGGACTCGGGGGGGGGCGTGGGGGAGCGGGGTGTGGAGCCTGGCGGCGGAGATGCTTGCGGTCTGGGGCTGTCCTTCACGTCTGAGGGCCGAGGTCTGTGTCCGCCTGCGACTGAACTTAATTGACCGTGCCGATTAAAGTTCTGGAGTGCCAGGAGTTCGGGACGGGCAGTGTTCTGGGAGCTGGAGTGCTGGGAGGACTTAGGGCATTTGTGCAGCTGGCCCTGGGGTTTGGCCAAGGGTGCTCTGTGTCCCGTCGGCTGGCTCTCCCCAAAGTCTTCCTCTTTTGTTGTTTCACGTCGCCCTCCACGGGGAGGAACCCGTTCTCCGCCCTTGACCCCAAGGTCTGGCTGGGTTCCTAAAAAGGCGGGACCTCTTACTGCCCCCGGGAAGACCCACCCTTCCTGTTGATGGAGAAGTCGGGGAAACTGGAAAGCCAGCGGCGTCCGGGAAAGCCAGCCGGGGAGGGAGTGCGCAGCCCCACAGGCTGCTGGGGTGCTGTCTGATCACCTCGCCACCTTGGTTTCTCTCCCTTCCCGAGCGTGGGAGACAGGTGCCTTTGGGGGGAAGCCCATTCTTAGAGCTTGGTACACACGCGCCCGGTGCAAGTACAGGCCCTAATGGTTAAGTCAGGGGAGGAGAGGGGGGGTTAGATTCTTCTTCAGATTTGAGACTTTCTGTCAGTATTTACATGGTCCAATTCCTGGGGGATCTGGGGGCTGCAGAAGGCCCTAGGCCCACTCTGGGCGATTTCTCTAAGGTGCTAGGAGGGAGCAGGTCCTGTAGCTACCCTCGCTGAGCAGTTTCTGACTGTTCTCCCCGAAGAGATTGAGACCAGGATGCGAAAGCAGGGGCTGAAGAGTGGAGCTGAAACTGGGGCGAGGGCTCTGTGAAATACCTGCCGGGACCAGGAGAGTAGGTGGCAAGGAAGTCAGGCTGTTTAACTGGGGAGGCTTAGGATTCAGAGGCACAGTTATTTCAATGCGTTGCCTTTTTGGTACCTACCTTTGTTATCCCAAGGAGCATCCATGAAGGCTTCCAGCAAAACGGTGTCCTTGCCTGTTTCAAGGAATTATCGATCTCCCTTCAGTGGATTTTTAACCCTGTCTAGTAAGTCCCCTGCATACCATTCCAAGAGCACATTCATAGAACCAATTTGTTCATAAGTCGGACAGTTAGCCTGGTACTCAGCTAACACAATGGGCTATACAGTACCTGCTACATCACTGCTGCTTTTATGTTTGCTTCTGGACATTCTGGGCTTGAAATAAAGATACTGTTCTACTGTACACTATAGAATAAAGAACACAAAAGCACAACCGCTCACAGAGGATGCACACATGTGACAATGTACACCACACATGTGAATTAACACGTTTGGACATGCCGTTTGGACATGCCAACACACGTTCACATCTTTGAAAGCTCACAACTTAAAAGTTCATATGTAAGGGACTTACTGTATCGCTGAGGTGCTTTGCTTTTTATTCTTCCCATTTTATTCCTTTACTTGTGAATGAGATTTGTTGCAAGAAAAACAAACCAATAAATTTAACATAATTTACCTTCACAAAGAACAGTTCACGAATTGGACAGTACTCAGACCCAGAGGAAGCTCAGAGAGATCCACCTAGCAGCATGAGCTGCTAGTTTTTGGATTTTAGATTTTGTTTTGTTTTGTTTTTTGAGTCAAAGTCTTACTCTGTTGCCCAGGCTGGAGTGCAGTGACATACTTACGGCCACGACAACCTCGACTGCTGGGCCCAGGTGATCCTTCTGCCTCAGCCTTCCAAGTAGCTGGAACTACTTAAAAAAATTAGCCTGGCTAATTTTTTTATTTACTGTAGAGTCGAGGTCTCACCAAGTTGCCCAGGCTGGTCTTGAACCCCTGAACTCAGGCAATCCTCTTGCCTCGGCCTCCCAGAGTACTGGGATTATAGGCGTGAGCCACAGTGCCTGGCCAACTGCTAGTTTTTATAGAAAGCCAAGTAGAGAAGTCATATTAGCCATGGTGTGATAAGACATTTGCCTAGTTTGCCTAGTTTGATCATGGTCTGATCACTTGGCTGCCTGTTATTGGCTGAAGCTCGGTTGTTAGTGATTGGCTGAAACCCAGCTATTTGCTAAAACAATACTAAGTTAGGTCTCAGTTGTAGTTTGTTATATAGGAACTCAAAGTACCAAGATAGAGTCTCAGGCTAATGGTCTCTTGCTTGTTTAACAGAATTTTCATTCTTCTTGTGTCCCAATGTCAAATACTCCCCACAATAATTTGGAGAATTTTTACTCCCCTCAAATTATTGTGGGAATAGTATGAATATGCCTTGAAAAGAGGGTTCCTGAGATCTCTATTTTGCACTTATTGATAAAAAGTTCCATATAGGCTGGGCATGGTGGCTCATGCCTATAATTTCAGCACTTCGGAGACAGAAGCAAGAGGATTGTCTGAGCCCAGCCCAGGGATTTAAGACCAGCCTGGGCCACTTGGCAAGACCTCATCTCTACAATAAACCAAAAAAATTAGCTGACATGGTGGTGCATGCCTATAGCTCCAGTCTCTTGGAAAGCTGAGGCAAAAGGATTGCCTGAGACCAGCAGGTCAAGGCTGCAGTACCAGGAGCGTGCCATTGCATGCCAGCCTGGGCAAGAGTGAAACTCTGACTCAAAAAAAAAGTTCTGTAGAATGTCTATTTTTAAGATTTAAATTATACAACTAATAAATTTATTTCCTTTGCAAATTGGAATACTATATTGTGAACAAATCTGAGTCTTTAATAAGGACCAAACAGGATGTAGTGCTTTTATCAGTTACTGATGATTGACATGAGTGTTTATGGAGTGTGGGTTTTCCTGTGTGTCTGCCTATGTGTTGGGTGAGAAGCCTCTGCACTCCTGCAAAGTATTTGTTCCTCTCTTAGTATTCATTTACATCTTTTCAGGGAAATTTCTTAAGGTCCCTGTGTCTTGTGTCCTGTACTCCTGAGATAACCTTCCTACTTCACTGAGAATAATTGAAGCTCCCTAATTTCTAATTTTCTACAACATAAATGTCTGTGTATCAGCCAGGGCTCAATCAGAGAAGCAGAAGAGCAAGAATGAACTGGAGCCTAAATCACAAACTGGTCATTCTTTTACTGTGTCCTACTTTAAAGATATGGGTATCTCTGCTAGAGGAGCTGACCCCTCTACCAAAGGGCTAAACACACTCTTGGCCCAAGAATCAAAAAAGCTGAAAGATAACCCAAGGGAAGGCTACTTCCCCATGCCAACAAGGCAGAACAGCTGATAGGTCGCAAAGTGCATGAGTTACAATAGCACCAGGCTTTCAAGGTAAAACTGGAGGGCTGCTTCACTTTGCCCTCTAAAGCTTATACAAACATGTTTTGCTTTGTTTTTCTAACCTTCTCTAACCCAAAACAAATAGGATATTCTGGGAAACATAGTCCATCTTAGCAAAGCTGACACATTACAAAATTACCACTGTCCACCCCTTCTCAACTTGGAACTCATACAGATCTCTTTAAAATATACTTACTCTCAAAAATAAAGCCCACACCCTACACATAAAGTATCACTAGAGAAATATAAAGCTTGTAGTCCACAACAAATTATGAAATTTACTGACTCTATAGTTCTGTTTTCCATCATTTTGAATCTGGCCCAATTTCTGACTAGATCCATACAACTCCACCACCAGTATACACTAAAGGTCTTGCAGAAGGAAAAATGTACTCACCTCCAAGCATAAAAATG